GGTCCAGCGGCTGCCGAGAGGGGCCGCGGGGCAGCCGAGCCGGGGGGCCCCCCCCCCGGGCCCCCCGCTGCCCCCGGGCCCCCCCGGCCACGCAGGGGCGCTGCCCCGTGCCCACCTTGGCCACGGAGAGCACACCGTCGTTGGTGTAGGGGTCGGTGTGGATGGCAAAGGTGCCCTCGGGGTCGCCCTCCAGGATGGTGAATTTGGCCAGCCAGTTGGGTGAGCCGGCCAGGTCCTTGTCGTGCACGAAGACCTTGCCCACGTCCACGCCGGCTGCCTGCTCCTCCACCTCCATGGAGAACTTGGGGAGAGCAGTGTGGGGCTGGTGTCTGCCCCCTTGGGATGCTGCTGTCCCCGGGGGGGGGTCCGGCTCCCACCCCACTGACCCCCACACATCCCCTCACCCATCCCCGGCCGCTACCTCCTCCTTGGTGAACTCGGGAGGGTTGTCGTTGATGTCCTCCAGGTAGATGACGGCCGTTGCGGTGGTGGTGAGCCCGTCCCCGGACATGTCGGCTGCCTGCACCGTCAGGTTGTACACCCCGACGGTCTGCGGGGGGGGGGGGGGGGGGGGGGGTGGGCCCCCCCCGCCCCCCCCAGGAGTCCGGGGGTCCCCAAGCTGCTGGCCTCCCACCCTGTCCCCATGCCTGGGTCTGCTCACGGCTGGGGCTGTGGTTTCACCAGCTGGGGGTCTCCGGCTGCCCCCAGTCCTGGTGCCACCCCGGTGCCGCCCCGGTGCCACCCCGGTGCCGCCCGCGCCCCCGTGCCTGCTACCTCGCGGTCGAGGCCTGGCCGCGCAGTGCAGATCTCGCCGGTGGTGGCATTGATGCTGAACATGCCGGTGGCACCCTGCTCCAGGATGGAGTACCGCAGCGCCGCGTTGTCCGTGTCGGGGTCGTCGGCGTCAGTAGCGTCTGCCGTCATCACGCAGGTCCCTGCGGCCGCAGCAGTGCCCTGGTGGGTGCCGGCGTGGGGGCTGGCTCGGCCCCCTGCCCCAGCCCCGGCCCCCCGGCTGGACCCACCTGGCTCAGCCCCCTCCACCACGTGCCCCGTGAAGACGTCTTGGCGGACGC